CTGCAAGGCAGATTCCTCTGGAGAAGAAAACTTCCAGGAAAAGAGACATTTTGTATAGTTAAATATTCCAAAGGTTTTACCCTTTTAAACAAAAACAAAGCATATTTGGGGTATTGATTATTTTGAGTGGAATACTCTCATATGCCCCTTAAAATGTCATTTCATAGAAAAATGCAGTCAAATAGAAAATGTCTTATATAATGAATTTAAAATAAGACATTTCATCTTTGTATATGCTAAACTTAAACTTCTTATAATCATGAGGTATTACACTATACCTTGGTGTGTAAGTCTCTAAATGGCCTCAAACTGCTGTACTGTTCAATTCCCATCTGCCAGTTCCTGGTTTTGGTTTGTTTTTTTTTCTGTTAGTTACATTTCTTGTAGCTGTTAGTCCATTTACGTGTGGCCACTGCCACCCTTTTGATTTCACAAAATCTCAGGATGGAAACTCAACTGTTGCTTATTTGCTGTGAAAAGTAGATACATGCTTTTAAGAATGAATAGGTAAAGGGACAGAGAAGATGCTCCTGTGCACGCTTTGTGGCAGTATGTTTGGGCCCTCTTAGCTTCTGTGGATTCCTGACTCCATTCACGGTAAAAGTGGCTTGGCATTGCTCACAGCAAACACATGGTAACTTGCTTCCACTTCTAAAACCCCACACACAACGTACTGTGTACTTACTCACCTCCATGTTCTTCCTCCATTCCTTCTAATTATTTCCAGGTTCATCTTTCTAATACTTCCATCTACATTCAGTCCCATGACCAATCCTCTTCTCCTTTTCTCCTTGGAAAGTATGTCTCCAAGTAATTATGCTTAGATGTTTTAGGTCATGCTTTTATTCCAGTGGCTTCTTCTTTATCAGGTTTATAACCTAATGGCTTCCTGCTTTGGATGAAATGAAATGTAGCTCTCTCATCCCTCTGCTGGGCCTCTATCACACATACATGTCTTTATCTATCACCCCCAAATGATTACAAGTACAGGTTAACTTGATAATGAGCATTTCTATGAGAACTGTACCTGTTAACTGCAGAGCCAACTAATGAATCAGGATTACATTTCCTTTTTGTTGAATTTTGTCTTTCCTGGATTTAATACCTGCCTTGTTCTTTCATTTGCTTATTTTCTAAGTAACTACTGTTTATTTTTTTTGCAACACAGGCTCAGATCTTTCAGATACCCATTATTATTTTCCAAGTGCCCAAATACCAGATTAACTATTGATTCCATCTCCACACTCTCTGGTCCTGGCATTACACAGGGAAGGGAAGCAGAAACCCACTACAGAATAAGCAGAGATGTACCTAATCCCCACTTTCAACCCTATATCTCACTCTGCCCACCACCATGCCCACTGTCCCCAAGACCCTAACTGTCATGGTTCCACCTTCCCAAAGAACAAACCTCCCATTTTCCTGCCTTGGCTGGGGGTGCTCATCTGGCTGCTCAGGGAGGGAGGGCTTCTGGGACTCCAACCATTTTGTTAACCAGCTGTGACCTAACTCCTTGCTTCTCAGTCCTGCCTCACATTTCACTTCCTCTCCACTTAGTGTCTCAAAATCCTGAGTCTTTGAGGTTCTTCCACAGGATGAATTTTGGTTCTTTTCTTTGCACTGCTTGTAGTTATCAACACTCCACCCACTTTCCATCTTCCAAATTACTGTACCCTCTCCTCTACCGTCCTCTTGTGGGTTGTCCTTGGGGATTTTATACCTTCTTTATTCCTTTACTCTTGTTTTAGTGGGGTTTTTAAAGTCACACCAATATGATTTAATCTATTACATTTTGAGTCCTATGGTTAGTTTTTAAAAAATAGATTAAAAGTATACCTAAATTTATAAGGAAATAGGAGACTGGCCCATTAATTGTTGGGAGGAAAATTTAACTTAATCCAAGATGTGGTATTTCCTTCTAAAGCAGAAGCCACAATTCAAATGCCAGTAGGAACTTAGAACCCAACAAAATATGAGTAAAGCAAGCTGGGTATAAGACAAGGAAGAGGTGGGGACTGTGGTGAACTGCAGAGGGCCAAGACTACCTGAAGGACACAGAAGGAACTCGGCTCCAACTCAGTGTGGAAACTCAGACCTAACACAGCCAGATCTAGATGCTGGCATCTAAGGTTAACTATCTACATCTAAAATTCATGGCGTTGTCCCCCTACTTCACTCAGATTACCATCAGAGCCTTCCCTGACAGACATTTTCTCAATAACTCCCTCACTCTTGCTTTATTCTTCATCATTCATCAATGTCTCTATTGTATTAAGTAGGTGTGTGTTTTATTGCCTATTTAGCCTTCATCAAATGCACCACGACTGTGACACTTTTTTCACTGCTTTTGAACAAATGACATTCTCCTTTGAAATGGCCTAGCCCAGTGTCTGAGCACTCCATCTGCTTCACTGGCCAGTGTTGTGATTACTGTTCCAAAGCACTTAGTCACTGCACACAACTTCTTACAGAACTATCTTGAGCTTGTCATAGCCCTTTGAACTGTTAATGTATTTTTATATGCCTTGATTTCCCAACTAGAAGAAATGCACTGTAGGAATCAAAGTTATATTCTGCTGTCTTCCTTAATGCTCTACCCACTGTGGGCACTTAATAATTTGATCTTCTCAGGCATATCAGCCAGTGAAACAAACAGGAGTTGAGATTGTGTATGACATGAAGCTAAGCACTGAAAAAAGTAAGCTATTTAAAATTGTTTGATTTTTAAGATATGCCTTTTAAGTGAGAAATTATTTCTGGGGCTCTGGGGTCTTGGTCTGGTTGCCCTTGAGAGAGCAGCATGCTTTGGGGTAGTAGATCTTGATGGCTGGCATAACAGAAGTCAGCAAAGGCCTTGTGCATTTATGCTGAGATAGGTTTTTGTGACTTATGCCAAAGAAACCTGATAATGCAAATATGGCTCGGTGAAAACAACTAATATGAAAAAGCGATTCTATTGCTTGAGACAGTGTTTTAGTGAAATAGGTAAATGCAGTTTAAAAAATTCTTTATCATAATGCCCATGGACTTTAGTTTCAATCTACATGAACAACCACTGATGCAGAACAGTTGGACAAAACCCATGCAGGAGTGTTTTTGACTTCCCTGTCCAACATGTTATTGCAATTTTTCAATGTGGATTAAGGGTAATTAATGACATCCATTTCTGACATCCACAATTAAAGGTGTTTGTGTGTTGGGACCGTCACTGATGGTGAGGCAGGCCAGTCCCCTTTCCTATCCCAGGCCTTACAGTCAGCTCTAACAGATGCAGAGTGGCGGGCAGAGCTTCCGTGGAATCAGCTGATTCTGAAGAAGCGAGAATGGAGTGAGTGGACAGCCCTCTGTCTCCCTCACTGGGGTGGTGCTCTGCCCTCTTCCACTCCCGGCAGGCACCTGGCTCGGGCTGGTGCTCAATAATCATCTCCTGACAATGGGTGTTCTCTAATTCCTTTGTAGTCTTTTCGTTCTTTTTCTGTGTCCAGGACAGGATTACTGTAAAACCGTAGCAAACACTGTCCTTGAAGTCATACCACTAGATGGCCCTTTAAATGGGATGGCCGGAAAATGAAGTCCTTTAGATACTTGTTATTAAGTCTCTTCCATGAGACCCAAGACAGACCAGCCAGCTGAGCTGGGAATGTTTACAGTAACCCAGACCTAAAATAAGATTTTTATTTATCTTCATAAACCTCACTGTGGATAGGTCAGTTAACAAGCTCTATATAATGTTTGTTAAGTAAATAAAATATCAAATTAAGATTTTAATGGCCCACAGGGCCACACTAGAATGGACGGAAGTAGTAAAATACTTGGCTGGGTATGTTATGTTCAGGTGGTCTCACCCATTCCTGCCACTCCATTTAATTCCTGACCCACCCGTGATGTCAGCTTCTTCTTTAGCTCTAACCTGCCTCTAGAGCATCAGCTCCATTATTCCCAAGTGTCTGATGGAGCCTCCCCTATGGGCAACAAGTCTAAAATGAAACTTATTTTCTCTTCCTTTGCCTTCTTAGCATTACATTGCTGTAGTATTTACAGCTAGTTTTCATTGGCCCAATAACCATCTGAGTGCCTATCTGTATGGCAGCAGATATAAAGAAGACACAGTCCCATCTAGTGGGCAGAAGAGATGCATGAGGACTAGAGCATGATCTAACAAGTGCTACATGGATGGGCACAAAGGAGGGAAGACTTCACGGTGCCCTGGGATGGCTTCAAAGGAGGGACACTGGCGTGTTCGTGATGACTTGTGTGTTCTCCTTAGCTCCTCTGCCAGTAACGATCCTCATGGCAGAATCCTTTGCTTACATGCTTAATTACTGCCTAGCACGGCACTCAGCACATGGCAACTAACAAACACCTGATAATGCTTAGGCCAAGGGTCACTCCCAGGCGCCCAGGTAACCCACTGATAGTGAAGGCTGCCCATCCACCAGCACCAAGCAGCGCCCTCTACCCACATGTTGAGCCCCTCTGTGTGGACCTGCCCTCAGGGAGTTCAAATGTAGTAGAATGTCTCTTTTTGTTAATCCTCAGGAAGACTTTCTCCATTGAACTGATGATGGAGATGAATTCTACCAACCCTTTTCAGAGTGTTAAATGCGGACAGTCCTGCTATACCTGCATCACCATCAACAAAACTGCACAGCACTTAGTATTTATTTACCCAGCTCAATTCTGAACACCTCCTATGTGGATCATGCATCCAACCCCACCTACTAAATACCCTCACAGCAAGCCTATATGGTAGGCATTAGCGTTATCTCCATATTACAGGTATCTCCATATCATGTCCCTCCTTTGAAGGAGCATGAGAGGCCAGGTGACTTGCTCAGTTAGTTGACTACCGGCTAGGCTCCCAGATCCATCTTCTCTGCTGCTCCACTCATCCTTCCAATCGGGGGTGGTGGTCCTGTCACATCTGCCTTTTGCACTCCAGTATGTTTAAGTACTAATTGGGGGCATCCCCCAAAACAAGAAAAAAGTGCTCACCAAACTACCAAAGCAGAGGGAGCTGCCATTTATTTAGCTTTGCTCCCTCCCATCCAAGACCAAGTTGATCTCTAAACAAGCATCAAAACCCGAAGCTCATTAACATCAGTGTGTGCTTCAGTAAGACACTACAGTGATGCACAATTACATGCTAATAATTCAATGCCCAAGAGCCCTGTAAAACAACTGCAAAGGCCCAGGATTATCACAGTACGCAAATGCCCTAGGAAAATCATTACCTCCTTAGTCCCCTTCGTTTTGGTGGGTTTAACACAAGAAGAATCAGCCATGCTACGAGACAAGATTTCATTTTACAGCTGTAGTAACCAAGTACATAAAAGCCTGAATCTGTCCCAATAGCTTCTAAAAGATTTTTCCCATAGTGTCAGAGGCAAAAATAATGAAATCTTGCAAATGTACAGTTAATAGGACCCTGGTGGACACTAACTTCAAAAATGCATGGTCTATAAGACATTAAAGGCTTGATTTTAGTTTCTGCACTGTTCATGTTAATAACAATGTCTAATTAAAACATCTGTAAAATACTGATAGTTTTAATTTTACATAAAATTTCCAAAACAACTGTTACACAGTATAATAGGTATCTGCAATGAATAGGTTATTAATGGAAATATTATTTTAAATTAAAATCAGGGTTCTAAATTTAAATTAGTCATCTCTGGCTAATGAAGAGAAAAAGAAGTCACCCATGCTGGGAATAATACAGTAGATAATCTAGTTTTCAACTTCCGTTAAAGCAAATTCACTCCATCACTTGGGCTAAAGGACAATTTATTCTGCTGCTTCTGACTCATACTCCACTTGGCACGTCTGAGGGATTTTACAGTTGAACTCAACATGAAAACTACAGCTTAATGCAACTTTTAACAAATTACTTGGTCATTTAAAAATACCATTCAACATTATTCACAACCCCTTCTCCACTTCCCAGCGAGGAGATAGCAGAAAACACCTCTCCCACAGCAGATCCCCCTCCCAGCCCTGACTAGCTTGATGAATATTTTAAAAGGGATGGCATAGAATCTCAGCTCTCCCATTCTTTGAGTCTCATCTTCTCTTACAAAATAAAACAAAAGGAATAATCAAGGTTTCATGGCTGGTGGAACTTCAGTACCTTTCTCTGTAATTAATGCACAATAAAGGAGGGTTAAACCATGGTCGAAGCTGAGTGGAATGGGTCTATCTATGCTGGCACTGAGTTGGTGAGGGATTCATTCCAGATGATGATAAGCTGCAATTCAAGTTGCTTCTGATTCATATAATGGCTCACAGTAGATGCTGCAGAATGTGGTCCACAGCATGAGGGAAGCTCTCACAAGTTAAGTAAGGAGATGGATTAATTTTTTCTTCATCTGCTGCTCGATATTTTCCTGAAAGTAAAGCCAGCAAACAAAGGTTACTGCTAAATGCCATATTAATCACACCCTATGAGCACCTGGGCTACCACAGTCACCCTTACAATTCCTGGAGAATCAGGGCTCCATGTCTTCCAAAATACCTTTTATTGTGGCTTCAGGATGTTGTAGTGAGATAATGCAAAGAAATACTGCATTCAGCACTTTCCCAGGCCCTCTGGTCTTCCTCAAAGGATATTCACAGGGACTGGGTCACCTGACAGCCAAGGTTCCTTCAAATCCCCACAGCCATTGGTGTCACTTTCTTCCCCACCAGCACTAAAGACAGGAATGGCGATTCAATCAATGCTTCTAAGTGGAAGCCCAGACCCCACAGGACAGAGACCTTGTCAGCTCTGGAGGGTGACTAGAAATAGCATGTGCTGCTGCCCAGCAGAGACCCTGTGAGCCTGGCAAATGAGAGCACTTGGGGTGGGGACAGAAAGAGTGATGGATGCTCACAGGTCTGGCCAGGCAGCACAGGCTGCATGGCAGGACCCCAAGGGGCATACACACTGCCTAACTCCCTGGACTCTGTAATTCAAGACACACTTGCATCCCCCAACACAGCAGAGGAACAATTCCACACTCTAGTCATAGAGAACTTTTACAAACAGAAATCAATTGGTGCATGTTCCCTATTTAAATGCAATTAATGGGTTCCAGTGCCCTTCAGAAAGAGCCCCAAATCCCAACTGCTGCCCATCAGGCCTCTGTCATGCAGCCCCAGCATCCCTCTAACCTTCCCATGTGCTACCTTCATGAGACTGCAGTCCTATACTGGACCTGGTTTTTTGAGGACCTTCACATCAGCCATTGCTTTTGCCTTGAACTTTCTTCTCGCTTGACTACCTCCCTCATGCCTCAGGTCAGACTCCATATTCCCATCCAAATTAGATCCCCCCTCTGTTATTCTCTCTTAGCACCCTGTTGTTTGCCTCCATTTATAACAATTTGTCATGATGTACTCATTTGCTAAATATCTGTCTCACATTTAAGACTGTACGTTCTCTAAGAGTAGGGACTATGCCTGTAATAGTCCCCAGCAGCTACAATGACTGGCACAAGGTGAGCACTCTATACAGTTGTTGTTGTTTTTAAAGAATAAAAGGAAGGAAGAAAGGAAATAGAGAACTGTTTCAGCTGAGGCCCTGGGGAATGAGGCCAACTGCCCTTTAGCCACCTGGGCTGCGTCTGTGCTTCCCCCTTCTCCTTGCTCTCTCATCCCTTCTGTGATTTCTGCTATTTATTCTTTGGCATTTTCCAGAATTCTCTGCCTATATTCAGCTCCCCAATAACAGACCCACCATTTCCGCAAATCCTTTCATTTTCGACAACTACCTCTTTAAGAGGCTTTGCCCAGCTAACATGAAGCCTGAAAACCCTGTTCCACACCTTTGCTTTAACGGTGAAGAGGCTTCTGTCCTGCCTTACTGACTGAATTCCCACAGGAAAGGAGTCAACATCAAACGTACAGAGACGATGAATATATACCTCACTCATCTTAGTGTTTTCAAGGCATCTGCCCACAGCATGGTCCATGCAGCAAACACTGCTGCTAGTTTTATTCTCAAGCTTAAATTCCATTAAGGATAATACTCCTTTGAACAGTTTCCACTTGGTCTCATAGGTAAGTTAATAACTATTCCACCTACTTCCTGGATCCAGTGGGCTAAAGGCAAATATGTGAAGGTCAAGTTTCTTAGCCATGGAGATAAGGGATTGCAGATACGCTTTTGCTTACAGGCCCTGCAAGTGGGGTTGCTTCCAAGTCCAAATCTACCAACTGGCTAATGTATGTGTGTCTGTTCCGGCACCTCACACTGGCATACAGCGGGTGCTCACTAATGCTGGCTGACTGAAGGGAGCAGGCCACCATCACTTGTGCCGTACTCCCTCACTGCAACGGTCTGTGCTTTCCTGAACAGCTAGGTGATGAATGGAGGGAATACCGGAAGCTGTGTTGATACTATTAGATAAAAAATAATCCAGTCTTTTCTAGGTGACTGTTTTACACGCTAAACAAATTCTGGTTAAGACGAGTAAAAAATCTTCATTTAACAAACCATCAAGCAAATGTACAGTGAGCATGTACCAAGTGCTGCTCACTGAGAAATAAACTGCTCACGACTATCCAGAAAAAGTACTTACTGTTTGGTAAGCTGAAATCTTTATGGTGATTTTCAACCTAGGAAACAGCACTTGTTCAAATGAACAGTTCAAATTTAGCAGCGGAGCCAGCTGTTCTGTGCACTTGCGGAAGACCTGACTTACTCAGGTCTTTTTCTGACCAGAAATGAACAGTACAAAGGGGCTTGTTTTTGTAAATTGAACGTAGCTGCTTTACTAGTTATACACTTCAGGTTTGACTACATGATGCGGCTGGCTTCTCTAAGACTAACTGGATGCCTCTGTGATACATTGATCACAACCAACTGCCGGTCAGAAAAGAAGGCGGAGCCAGTGGAGGCCAGTCAGCGGGAGCTAGGTCTACAAGACACCAGCATAGGACCAGGTCTGATATTTAGTGTAAATCCTTAATTATGTTAGCTAAAGAAAGGAAATGTTCACGGGAATAATACACAAGAGGAAAAATAGTTATTTGAGGATTTACTCAATACCCAGAAAATTAATTGGTGAATGGCAGGAATTTGAAAATTAAGATCTAGAAGAGGATAATGAGTATGGCTATTTTTCTTTACTTTTTCTGACACCTCCTCTTTCTTGCTTACATCAAAGGGCAGTAATGCTCCTGGGAAGGTGCTGATCATTTTGACTAAGAAATTTGCAAAAACACACTGTTAGTTCTGGAATGAAGCATCTGTAAGGCTCTGGTGGTCCCCCCTTGGCCCAGACGGACTGTGTCTCCACTCTTTGTTCACACAGGGCTTTATTCAATTGTAGCTGTAGCCATGTTTTCTATTTTTAAATTCAAAATATTTCTGTCATGCAACCACATTCTCTAGTAAATGTTACAGCCATGAATAAACCTACTTTTTCTAAAAAATTTCTAAGTGGCAACTCTTCTGTGACTTTATGTTTAAATCTTCCCTTTATGAACATCCTATTAAATAGTTTTCACTACCATTATGTGAAACCAGGCAAAGGATATCACAGAACCATTTACCTGCCATTTGATTTATAAGAGCCCAGTGACAATTCTTGGACAAGACTTCTGGCTCTCATCCTTATACGTGCTATTAGATCCAAGCTTAGCAGATGCCATTTGGGGGCAGATCTTTTCATTATATCTGAAAAGGCTCATTAAGTTCCCAATGCAACAATATTCGAGCCCACACACTGCCCTCATGCTTGTTCTTCCCTTACCTTGAAAGGACTTTAAAAATCACACTCCACATAAGAAAACTGCACAGAATCATATACCATTGAGAGCTACAAGGGACCAGTCCAATCTTAACATTCTTCAAGGGTCCAAACAGGTGAAGGGCCTTGGCCAGAGTCTTGCACAGTGAGTCAGACAGAGCTGAGGCCAAGGCCCGGACACTTAGCCCGTCTACTGTAGTTATAATACTGTACTGGCTGAGTCCTCCCCATTAAGTTCCTTTGCTTTTCCATAAATTTATGTGGGGGACAACACAGAGTACCTAAGTTTGGCATAGGAAATAGCTCCTGAGATAGTAAGTGAAAATAAAAGAGAAAAAGCTTTTTGTGTGCTTTTTAAAAAAAGCAAATATTAACACAAAGTATCAAACCACTTAGCTGGCTAGTTCCTGAAGAGAACAACCGAATCATCTTACAGATGGCACAGAAAGAAAAGACATTTTTACAGAGCACCACAATTGGCTGTCTTTGGTCCATTTCAGTGTGGTGATCTGCATGTCCAGAATATATAAAATGTGAATTATCAACTGTTTGTGGTTATCTCTGGGTAAGTAACCTCTGAATTTTGATCTTCCTGGTTTTATACACCATGGGTCCTCCCAGTTGTCTTCCCTGTGATCCTAAGCCCATTTTATTTTTGCTTTGTGGCAGAAAGGGAATTAAAGTGCCCAGTGGGATTTGCCATTTCTGCAAAGACTGTTCTTTAAGCAACTGTATATTTGTTCATCCTGTTTCAGAGAAGGCTTGTATATGACATACATACCAGTTTTTACTAAGATGCCCAGCATGCCGACATTCTGAGCCCCACCAACATCATCCCTGCAATCCTAGAAAAGCATGAAGAAAGAATTTAGTCCAGTGTCTTCAGTTTGCTTGACAACAAAACCCTACCAATTGATTTGATTTATTAGGCTGGAATGGCGAACTATACTCCCATGATTTTTTTCTTAAAATTAAAGAGAGTGTGTATAAATGGGTAAATCCACATGTCTGAGGAGTCATACCATCTGGGAAGAGAAGCATCACAGAGGTGGAAAGTATATAACAGAACAGTGATTCTAGTAACCAAACCCAAAGAACAATTACAGTTCTTCATGTTTTGCCCCATGTACATTTGTCTCTTTTTAAAACAGATGATGGAAAAAAAGCATTCTGTCCCTGTGGCAGCTTTTAGATGAACAATCCAACTGCAGGCAGTGAATGAACTAAGTTCAGAAGACAGCTTTTCTGACATCAACGTAATATATTCCCACCTAACTGTAAGAGGTAGAATCAAATCACTTAAGTATACTTATTTGTGACTGTTTGATACTCACTTCATACTTGGGAATAACAGCTCAGTTGGAAAAGGAAGCTCCTCTTTCCATTTCTCAAGATAGGGATGAATTAAATTCAAGGTAATAAAAATCCACAGATAGTAAGAATCATCAAGAAAATGAAAGCTGCCATCTCACATCTAAAGGCAAATTCATGTAGATCATGCCTGAAGAAGTTTTTCCTTAAAATCATTAGTATTATTCAACAGCTCTTGGAAATAAGTTTCAGAATGTCAAAATCTTTATTCAGCATCTAACTTAAAACCTTTTCTGTTGCACCTAAACTTACCCTGCTGAAACACTGGCAATGGAAGAGGAAGGGAAGGAAGAAGGGAGGTGGGAAAAAGTAGACAATGAAAAAGGAAGGGAAAAACTACCACTCTTGGATAGCACCCCCACATATAGCCAAACATTGCTATTCCATGCCCTGTCCATCACCCATCCTGTCCCAGTAGCAGTGTCTCCTGGGATAAAGATTTCTGAAGTCTCTAGGCTCAGACAACCACTTCTTCAAACACACATTTGCTAAAGCCAACTAAGGTTTGCTAAGAAGAAAGGATGTGACTGAAAAGATGGTTTCTCAAAACAGTATCAAGTTCAATTATTGATCCTCTTTGGTTTTAGGTGAAGTAGACAACATAAGTAGGAAGACAAATCAGAAGGCCCATGATACACTGGCGCCATCACAAGTTAAGACAGCAAGACATCTCTAGTTTGTTTTGGAGGGAGTCCACAGCCTCAAGTTCTACTTCCAGCTGTGCCTCTAATTAGCTATGGGAATTTAGGCACCGAGATTTATCTCTCCAGAGTTCAGTTTTCCAGTGTATGAAATGAGGAAGTTTGGACCAGACAGTCTCGATGGTCCCTTGCAGTCTAATGTGTTATTTAAAATTGAATTGAACTGCCACCTACGTACCACAGGGCAGTGCAATCTCTAGCTTTTCCCCCTCGTGGCACACAGGGAAGCTAATGTTCTCCCAGTACTCTGGGATAAACTGACAAGACACACGGCCAGAGGTCACCAGCTAGGGACTCCAATTGTCCAGGTTCAGCCCTGCCACTTAAAGGGCTGAGAAAGGTCTGAGGCAATTAGTATCTTTAACTTTTTGTGGCACACTGATTGGGAAGTTCTTCCATAAAGCACACACTGGGAAAGAAATCAATAATGGTAGAATTTTTTAGCTATAGGTTGTTCTCTGCCTAAGTAATACTAAAAAAAAAATCTAAACTTGTGTGGAAGTTTTCTTCAAAGACATATAAAGCATTTAATTGACTTGCAAAAGACAGTTTTTTGAATTGTATATATCTCATCATACTATGAGGAATGTCAATAGCTACTGGAAAGCCTGTTTCATAGGCAGCCACTCAGGAGCATCTGATAGGGTCAGTAACACAGTCGGCTTGCGCTTCACAGCAATGCTTTGAAGCCAGCTCTGCCCTGTGTGACAGGTGAACTTGGGGCTTTTCCTGGGCTCTTCTACTTACATCTCCTATCATGACGGCCTCCTCAGGTTCACAGCCAGTGCCCCGCAATGCTTCCAAAAAGAATGTTTTCTCTGGTTTTCCCACTACAGTGGCTTTGGTGTCCGTGGCATACTCTAAAGCAGTCACAAATGGTCCAGGCCCTAGGGCCAAGCCATCTCTCCTCTTGTAATACCTGGCTTTGTGGATTGCTATCAGAGGGGCCCCATCCAGGAGTAACCTAGAGGGACAAAGAAAATGGAAATTGGCTAGAAGCAAGGCTTTATGACTGGAAAAAGAGTGTCAGACTTACAAAGCTTTTTTATTCACACTCACAGAAACAAATAGTTTCTTATTAACTTTTAATGACTTGCTGTCTTCTAATGAATTTGCTAATAAGAACTGCTCGGAATTACTCTCAGATACACTAAAGAAAGGTGATAGATTATTAAATTTGGGATTGCTTCAACCTTTTACCTTTAGTGGTTTCAGACACTTTACCCAAATCACCAGGGAAAGAGAATTAAGAGAAGTAAAGCTAAATAAGACACTCTAGGGAAGAAGCTTAACTTAATGAGATGAGTTGTTTCAACTTTCCCTAATGGTAAGCAGGAGGCTCTCGAGCCTTTTACAATCTGACATGACTGTTGCGGCAGTGACACTGCCAGCAAGCCCTGAGGTATGTGAATTCCACTTCCCTCTTCTCCAAAATGTTTCTTTCTAATTCAGAAGTTTAACAGAGCATTCTACAGATACTTTCGGCTAGTACCTTTACCTCTTCTTTCTAACTTGTGACTGTTTCTGACATTACCTTGCAAACCAGGCTGTCTTCCCGGAAGCAGATGCCAACACGGTTTTAAGGGAGAGCCTGTCCTGTCAAGTCCCTTTGTTTGTCCTGACGAAGGACATACTCTCACACCAACCGAAAGGGCATGGAGATTTCCCATTAGTCTGAGAACCAAACTCTACACATAGCTAAGGATCCTCATTAGTGACTCAGGCAAAACATAACACAACAGATTCAAAACCCCCCATCAACTTCTTAACATTCAACCCCAACCTGCACCTCATCCAGAAAAATCTGCCATCCATCCCAACAGCAGAGCCTCTGGCCACACAGCAGAAACACTCACACACATTATCATCTAATGGAGTGCAGGACACAGTGTGTTTCTTAAACTGCTTGTAACTGATGTAATAAATGATCTCACTGGCTTAATTTACTTTAAGTCATCTCCTTAGTTAAAATATTTAGTATGTCCATTGAGGAAGAATTCATCACATCTTACCCTTCACAATTATGAGTAATTAAGCGCTCAACTATGAAACTGCTAAATTATTCTTGTCAGTGGGCATGGAAATGCCTTCCTGTGGGAGATGCAGAATTCAGACATTTATGATTAAATATTTTATTAAGTAAAAACCAATGCTGGACAATTACAGGGCCTTATTGTTAGTTACTATGAATTGTTCACAGCACAGGACAGATCCTTCAAATTTATTCACTACACTAATACAAATTTATTTCTTAAAGCAGATCTTAAAATCCAACTGCTAGGAAACCTGAAAAAGCCACTATGTTGGCTTTAAAGAACCACAGCTGATAGCAATGAGATAATAATGGGTGATTTATCTATCTCCCCTCTTTTGTCACCCTGCCCCCAATCCCATTTATTTGCTTCTCCACCACGGAACTGGAATTCTTTATGCAACAGACCTCAAAATTGCTTTTCACTTATATAGCTAAACTAAAAACTCATTTGATTTAGCTTTGTTAATATTTTATTATATATTAACTGGGGATAAGACTTATCAGCTTGATTGATGTGTGTACTTAATTCCCAGGCAGTACTTTAGTGCTTTCCCTGGAAGAGCTGAAACTGTGGGCCCCTCATTTCCCTAAATGGGAACTGGTCCTACACTAGGCTGGAGAAGATAGACATCTCTCAGGGAACACTTCCTGTTTCATCATGCTTCTCTGCACAGCTCGATCACATCTTTGAAGAGCCAAGGCATATTCAGGATGGATGGAAAGGTAAATGTTTTCTAGGACACAGATGAAAAGATCTTTTATAGTCAAACATTGAAAAATAATAAAACCAGACACCCCAATACTTGGAGCCTTTTTTACACTTACTAGGCAGGGCAACAAAGGCTTGCTTGTTTTTGTTACCAGAAGAAAGGCATCAGCAGGAAATATGATAATTTTCTGTCTATATCTAAATATGAGCCCACTGAGGTGCAGGAAGCAAAAAAAGGCACAAAGAAGGCCTGATGCAAAAATTGCTGGCTGTTAAGTTCCACGAAGGCAAAAGAAAAAAACCTGTAAAAAGTCTTAGTCAGGGAGCAGGGCCACAATATAAAACTCTTAGGCAGAGTAGTGAGACAAAAGCTAAGGGGCTAACTTAAATTCAGAGACACAGAACATTACTAGAAGGGACCTTAAAGAACATCAAGTCCACTTCACAAACACACCCTGTTTTACAGATGAGGAGATCATCCAGAGATGTTGGCCAAAATCAACCGCACACCAAGCAGAGCCAGAAAGAAGAACTTCTGAAAACCAATCTAGCACTCCTTCAAATATACTATATTATCTTTCTAAATAACCGAACTCTTCCAGGAAAACCATAAACTCTGCACCATTTCCACTGGAGATGGAGTATGTGAAAATGACATTACATGGCAGCTTAAGTAACTGTCAGACACCTCCTAGGTCCAACATTAAACCAATGAGTCCTTTTCTGCCCACCCTCCACAGCGATCCTCCCCTAATCATTCTCATCTCACCCAGTTGCACAAGCCAGAAACCGAGTAGCCCCTCTTGATTTCTCACTCTCCCTCACCCTCCTACATTCCTATTCATTAGCAAATCCAAAATTGTTAATTCCAAAAATAAATGCATTTCAAAACCATCTTACTCTCTCTCCTGAACTTCTGCAATAGTCTCCTACCTGGTCTTCCTGCTTTCTGCTCCTGTCTTATTCAATCCATGGTACAGGCAATTGTGACAGTTCTAAAAGTACAGACAGCGTCATGTCCCTCCCAACACTTGAAACCCTTCAATAACTTCTCATTGCAAACAGTATTAAACCCCAAGTCCTTCATGCAGCCTATAACGCCTCACCCTATCTGGCCACCATCTACATTTCCAATCTCAGGTCACCTTCTGTATCATTGATTGTGTGCTACACACAATAGTCTTTTCTCACTTCCTAAAAGCAAAACAACAAAAAAAGTTAGTTTTTTCTGTTTCAGCCCACAAACATGGTATGTCCACCTACTGAAACAGTTTCCCATACTTTTCCCAGTTATCTTTTGCTCATTTGTCAGATCTCAGCTTAACTGTCAGCACTCAGAGAAGCTATTCCCAACCTACCTATTTAGAGTGGACTTGCTCCTCACATTGAATCTCTAGCTCATCCCCCTTTTTCATTTCTGTCACTTCCCAAAATTTGTAATCTTTACTCAGTTGTTTGGTCTGTCTTCTTCACTATAATTTAATATCCACGGTGCCTATCTGTTTTACTCATCACTGTATTTCTTACTTCCAAAAAGCAAACAAACAAAATACCCTTGTACCTCTAACTGATACCACAAATCATGGTTACTGAGTAATGGGTGAAGCTCTGTATGCCTCAGTGTCCTGATCTATAAAATGGAGAATAATGCTTACCTTCTTGGGGAACAGAGGTGATGTAGGCAAAGTTTTTCACAGTATCTAATGGTAATGACAATTATTTTTATTCATAAATACAGAAAGTGTGGTATCTATGCTACTTGAAATAAGTAATGGCAAATCACTTCATGTTTGTGGGCCTTGGTTTCTTACAAATGAAGAGGTTGAAGCAGATCAGTGCATTTCTTATCAGCTGATGGGTTGAACTCAACCTCAGCACCCCTGACAGTTTGGATGGGAAAATGCTTTGCTGTGGGGGCTGTCCTCTACACCATACAGTGTTTAGCAGCATTCCCAGACGTACCCACCAGATGCCAGCAGGCCTCCCCTTTCCCTAGTTGTGACAACCAGAAACGTGCCCAGACAGTGACAAACGTCTCCTGAGAAGCAAACTGTCCTGGCTGAGAACCACTGAACCAGATGACTGCCAAAGTCTTGACACTCAGCATATTTAAAACCAATACCAATCAACTGGACAGACACAAACTACCAAAACATCAAATAAAATAAATATATCACGAACTATATAGTAAAGGAAAAATCCCATGAACACTTAATTGAAACCCTCAAAACAGCTCCAAAGGCAACTGACACTGTAAATTTCTCATGAATAGACTTCCTATTACCACTTCTATTTAGCACTGTAATTGGGGTCCTAGGCAGTGTGATAAAGCAAGAAAAAGAAATGAAAATCTAAAGGTTGGTAAGGGAGAAGTAAAATTGTCAGTACTTGTAGATGACACAATTGTCTATATAGAAAATTCAATCTTAATGATTCTATAAATATAGAATTAGCAAGTAAATGTAAGGTCAGTGAATACAAGGTTAACATACAAAAACTCAATTATATTTCTATGAATTAGCAACAAGCAGTTAAAAATGAAATTTAACAAAATATCATTAGAAGAACTTCAAACAACATGAAATTCAAGGATTAATTTAACAGATGCCTAAAAATCATACTGTAAAAACTGCAAAACACTGCTGACAGAATATAAAAATAAAACCTAAATAAATGGAGATACATCCCATTTTCATAGACTGGAAGACACATTATTATTCAGATGCAAATTCTACTCAAATCCATAGATTTAAGAGAGTTGTCGATCAAACATCCAGTGGGAGTTTTTTGTGGATATTGACCAGATGATTCCAAAATTTATATGGAAATGCAAAGGATGTAGAGTATCTAAGACAATCTTAAAAAAGAATAAAGTTGAAGAATGTACACTACCAGGTATTAAGAATTATTATAGAGCTACAGAATTCAAGACAGTGTGGAATGGTACAAGTAAACAGCCACATATAGTCACTTGATTTATGTCAAAAGCACCAAAGTATCACTGAAGTTCTGTGAGGGAAGGAAAAGTTCTGTACAATAAATGTGGCTGAAACTGTATCTGTACAAAAAAAAGATGAACTTTTACCTCCCAAAATTCACAAAATTAATTCAAAATAGATCCTAGACCTAACTGTTAAAGAAAGAACAATAAAGCTTGCAGAAGAAAACATGGGAGAGTATCTTCATGGTTGCTGAGTGGGCAAAGATTTCCTCAGCATAA